CACGCAGGACTCAAGGCTGGCGACTGGCAGCAAAACTCTCCAGAGTTTAGAGGCGATGGCTAAAGGCAACTGCGGGTTTCTCCGTAGCTCTCTCCTGTCTTTGTCCTATCCTTGACATCAATCCCCGTCAGTTCTTGACCCAGCACTAGTGAAGATCTCTGCTGGGAAGGCAGGCTTCTGAAAGAAACCACACACGCTGGACACACAAGGTGGACCTGCAAGGTCAGGGATCGCATGGCGGAGGTGCAATCCTAGAGACTGTGATACTGCTCCTTTCATGCTTTCCTTTTTACTACCAAAGTTCAGCTAGAAACATGCTATGCAGTAATTGCACATGTTTTATTCTGACTTATATACCGACTGGTGAGGGAGGTGGCACTGCTGCAGCATCACACTGAACATGGTCTTCAGCAGCTCAGGTCACCCAGCAACAGACGTGGTTTCATTCTGTTCTCCACCATGTCCTGCCTTTCCACTGGCTTTCTGAAAAACTTGCTACTAGCCAGCAACAGCTCAGAAAACATGAAAAGAACTAAGTGCTACCATTAAGGTTAAAAAAACCCCAACCCAAACCAAACCCCCAAATCCCACACCGAAACCTAAACGTAGAGGACAGCATTCTGTGCTACCCACGTAACCACTCTTGGCATAATCATTCCTGATTCTGTGTACTGAAGTGATCTGTAATTAAACGAGAGGAATGCTTCAACAGAAAAAGGTTTTTAAACCAGCCAAATTGCTCACTCATTGACTACCTCTCAAACCTCTTCGGAGCTCTCCAAAAAGGGTTTTCAAAACCAACTTGCTAAAACCCACTGCCTACTGCAACACACACGTATCACTAAGGCAAACCTCACTGTGCAGAAGAAGTTTCAACAATTAAACCAGAAGCACTATCAGTCTCAAGAGCTCTCGCCATCCTGGAACACAGGCGGTCAGAGGGGACAGCGCTCTCCGAGGTTGAGACCAGAAGGGGTAGCAGAGCACTGATCACTACGAGTCCAGCCATCCCAGAGCAGGGACAGATTGTTAGCTAAGAAGTGTGCAAAAACAGCTGGAAGAGGTCATTATTTTTATATGATGAAAGATTAAAAGAGGAAAGACATAGCTTAAAGCCAGGACACGCAGAGGTTTGGGGGGTTGGTATTTTGTTTTGGGTTTTTTGGTTTTTTTTTTAGTAAGCAATAACAAGCTACAGAACTAAACAATGAAATCTTATGAGATATGGGTTTATTTACAAAGTCCGGTAGGAAAATCAATCGCTTACTAAATAAAACCAAAACCAGATTAGATATATGCATTACAGGCAGAATAGATTAGAAATTGCAATCACACACTTTAACATTGATGTAGCCAAACAGTCACTGTTATTGGCAAGATAAGAGTTACATAAATTGAAAGTGTGATACAGTAAGGCAATTCCCAGATATTTGTGATTTTTGTAAAATTAATATAAACCTGAAGCAGTTAGGAAAGTGAAAGTCTCCAGGAAAGTTTTTTAAAAAATCCTTTTATGCAAATGATCCAATACCCAAGATGAAAAAAATGTTCTTCAGAGGCAGTTCTAAAAACATCTGGCAAGGATCATTTTGTTCCATCTCTAGAGGGACAAAACGGGAGAGAACAAAATTACTCCACTCCAACTTCAGCTGGTTAAAAAATAGTTTATCAGGGCCTGAAAGGGACTCGCATTACATTCAAGGGATCCATTTGTTAGGACATTCTGTTTCATTTTATTCTGAATTTTGTTTTCTGGATGCACAGAACTTCCCTTGCCACGGTCCTCCCTCATCCGATGCTATGCAGACTCTGTCTGCGTCTTAACATTAAAAAAGAGCTTTACATACATTTGCTCCTCTGCAGCACTAAAAAAGTCGTGAGATTTCACCACAGCGATGGAAAATAGACTCCCCACAGACACAGCGACCCTCTGCCACACATCACAGCTCTATTCTGACTCACTCCAGGCATCTGCTCATGGTCACTGTTGGGAGGCAGGATCCTGAGCCAAACGGATCCTCAATCCCACCCAAGAGGACCACTCTTATGCATGTTATGTTCTTACATTACACAGTCCAGAATACAGAAGGGACAACCAGGTTCGGGACACTCAATCTTTAACCAAAAAACCACCAGAACTACCACAAACCTGTGAGTTGGGTGCCTGAGAATAACAGAACTGGGTCCTCCTCTGCCCCAAACAAAGAGCAATTCTTGCTTAAAGACGAGTTACATTGGGTTTTTTCATTATATGGGGACCTATACTAAGTTCGCTTTTTCCAATAATTATTTTCTACATTAAAAAATTTACTTCAAGTTACTCGATTTCATGTGTCCAGTTTGCACTTGTTCCTTAAACCTTTTTTTTTTAAGCAAGATTTTAAAATCCCTTTCCTAGGAGTATCTTAATGCTCAAAAAATATCCCTGCTAACGGTCAGCCTCTAGTAAGTTTAAGTCTTGTTTAAAACCTGTTGTAACAAGTGCACTATAATAAAAAAAGGCACAAGCAATTTTGTGTT